ATAAAGTGAGAGAACTCTTTTAACCATAAATCCTTGATGTCATAGACATATCCTTGAAGCTTGAGCTCTTGAAATCCATTGAAGAACCACTTGGTTGAGGACCAACTCTCAAACCCTAGGTTAGATAGTGAGATGAATGCAATTGTGTCATCACCTACAATATGAACATTCAAATAGACATATATACATATTTTGATGTTAGCTAAAAGTTAATTCATCTAAAAACACATGTACAATATACACAAATTAAGGTGCTTGGTGATCCCTCAAGAGCAAACTTAAATATAGGATGAAGTAAAAACAGATAATCAATCATAATGTGTGATCTTGATGTATTGATAAAATGAGATGATGAGAGATCTTAGGGAAAATTTTGGGGTATAATAGTACCCATAATCTTTTGGGTCATTTAGAGTTAGTTTTCTCAGAGTTTCTAATGATTTCGGGTTTTTGTGCAACATTTATTTTTTGTGTTTGTGCATAAGGGTATAGATAAGAAAACGGTTTGCCTTCCTGAGTATCTTCATCATAATCATAACCAATTCCCCTTTTTCAATAACTACTAACACCATAGATCATGGAAGCCATTTTTCTTCTATCTATGATGTCGTTCAAGAATTTCTTAAATGCCTTATCATATTTATATAAGACAGTTTCAAAAGATGGATGTGTTTTAGAAAGAGTTTCTTCAAGTTTTAAATATTTATTGTTCAGAAAGACATTTTCTTTTTCTAAAATAAAATTTTCTCCTTTTAAATCAGAAACTTATTTCTCTAGCTTACCATATTCTTCAACTTCATATTCATGAACCTTTTGAAGGTTCTTGAATGTTAGTTGAAGTTTCTGATATCTACTCAGAGATTCAGATAAACATAGTTCTGGTTCAGCACAAGAGAGTTCATAAAATATCACTTCTGAGTCGAACTGAGTTTCTGATGTGTTTCCATCTGATGTAGTAGCCATAAATGCTACATTAGCACGCTCTTCTTCATATTTTGATTCTTCAGAGTCTGATTCATCTCATGTTGCCATGAGATCTTTCTTATTTCCATTGAAGGAATTCTTCTTGAATCTTTCTTTTCTGGTGCTTTCTTTCTGAAACTTTAGACATTAATTTATCTAGTGTCCTGATTCTTTGCACTCGTAGCAAGTAACTTCTTTACTTGCTTTTTCTTTTGCAGATGATTTTGAACGATCTTCTTTGCTTCTGGATCTTCTGAAGTTGCCTTGTATTTTCTTCCAAATTTGTTTGACTCTTTTGGAATAAGGGACAATTCATCTTCGTCATCAGAAGGTTCATCTTCAGAATCTTTTACTTTTTTAGCTTGGAACGCTTTGCACTTTTCTAACTTGGTCATTTCTGACCTAGATCCTAGAGTGACTGACTTGCCTCTTTTATGGGGATCATCTTCTTCTAGCTATATTTCATGACTTCTAAGGGAGCTAACCAACTCTTCAAGAGACAGGTTGTTTAGATCCTTAGACAACTTTAAAGCAGTAACCATAGGTCTTTATTTCTTAGGAAGGCTTCTGGTGATATTTTTAACATGATCAGCTGTAGAATAACCCTTGTCCAGAACTTTAAGTCCTTCTACCAAAGTTTGAAATCTTGAGAACATGGTTTCAATGGTTTCTTCTTCTTCCATCTTGAAGGCTTCATGTTTTTGGATTAAGGTCAGCGCCTTAGTCTCCTTAACTTGAGTGTTACCTTCGTGTGTCATTTTCAACGAACCAAAAATATCTTTCATTGTTTCTCTATTAGTGATATGTACATATTCATTGTGAGATATAGTATTGAGAAGAATAGTTATAACTTTATGATGATTCTTGAGCACACGATTTTTATCATATTTCATTCTATTTTTGAGAATGGGAATACCAAGTGTAGATACAAGTGCTTCGTAACCAAATATGAAAAGATCCCAAAGATCGGCATCATAGCCTAAAAATAAAATTTTTGGTCAATCTTTCTAATAGTAAAATTTATCTCAATCAAAAATAGGAGGTTTAGTACTGTAACCATCTCTTTTGTCTGTATGAGCAGCAGCCATAGAGTTTTTTTTCACACTGGATCTCTCTACATGATTAAGTTTTTTATTTGGAAGCTCTGATACCAATTGAAGGTTGAGAAAAACATAAGAAAGATGGGTTTGAATTGGGTTTTTCAAAAACTATTTCTTTTGTAAATGCTTCTCACAAACAAACAATGATAATTAAGCAGGAAAAAAAGTGACACTTTTGGTTTGTACAAGTTCACCTTAGAAAAAGCTACTCTTGTTCATCTGCCAAGGTGATTTTGCGTTAGGAAATGACTTAATCTAATAATTCAGAAAGATTACAACAACCTCTAAGAGTTAAAAAAAACACCTTATCCCTCTCAAGTAATTCTGACTACAACTTAGTCACTTGAGGAAATAAATCTAGAAAGATTTACAACAACATATAAGTGTTTAGAAAAACCTCTTAGCCCTCTCAAGTAATTCTGACTACAACTTAGTCACTTGAGGAAATAAACCTAGAAAGATTTCCAACAATGTCTAAGTGTTTATAAAAACCCCTTAGCCCTCTCAAGTAACCCTGACTACAACTTAGTCACTTTAGGAAATAAATCTAGAAAGATTTATAATCAGACATTGTTTGCGAGATTTCTTCTAAAAAGCAGATTTAACACCACAATGAAGAACTAATGTTTACACACAAATCTGAGCAACAACCCTTTGTCTTTTTTCTTTGAATATTTTCTCTCTTTTATTTTCTTATGCTTTTGATGCTTTTCTTTGAGTGGTTTTTCGTTGATGATTCAGTTTATTGATCTTTGATATTTTCCAAAGAAGTAGTAATCCCTTTATATAGGCTGAGAAAAGAATAATGTTGGAAAATGTTACTTTCATCAAGCCGCCTGCTACAACGGTAGCGTAAGAACATGGGAAATAGTAAGCACGCACAAACTTCTTCTGTGCGCTCCATTTTCCACAAATAATGGGAAATGTGTTGTACTTGTTTACTTCTTGTATAGTTTATGATCTTCTTTTCTGTTTAAAATACTTCTGATCTGAAGTAGTAAGAGAGCGCTGAAGAGATCATGTCTTTATTCTTCAATCTTCTGGTGGAATTTTATGATATGAAGAAATGAGTATTCCATAAGATATTTCTTTGGTGTGTTCTCAAAGGTATCAGAGTCTTCAGAACCAGAACCTAGTCTTCAGATATGTAGTAGCAGCTTATCTGACAAACAACTTTTTGATATCTGAGCGTTGAAGCAAAAGCTTTATATGAGAAGCACTTTATCTTGTTTTCTGATTATTGAAGTAAAAGCTTTATATCTGATCTTCACTGTTGATTCTTTTATAGACGCACTAGACATCTGAAGCAACGGCTTATTTGGAGAAGTACATGTGGTTCCGTTTCTGGCGAACATTCAGCATTCATCAGAACTGCTGATGTTTCTTCAAAACATAATACGATAGTCTTTTTTATGCTAGCTAAACACCTTTATGATGATTCTTTAGACAACAATCCTGAATCAAATTGAATATTTTATCTGCACACTTAAAGAACTATTATATATGTATTGTTATCATCAAAACTCACAGATTACATGCAGAACCAAATCTTGTTCTTACACAGATTTGGCGTCTAGTGTTAGTATTGTGAGTATATTCATGGCGGGACCGAAGGTGTCTCACTTAGCAGCGGTCAAAAGAATTCTAAGATACGTCAAAGGTTCTCTTGGTTGCGAAATACTTTTTCCTGCAGCAGATACGGGCAAAAAATGTGATTTGCTCGATTTTACCGATTCCAATTGATGCGGAGATAAGGATGAACGGAAGTCTACGACTAGTTATATCTTTATGTTCAAAGGAGCACCAATCTCTTGGTGTTCTAAAAAGGAATCGTTGATTGCACTCTCTTATTGTGAGGCTGAGTATATCAATGTGTCTTTATGTGCGTGCCAAGTTGTATGGTTGATGAATGTACTGCATGAGTTGGACAACAATGTAGGAGAAGTTGTCACACTTTTGGTTGACAACATTTCAGCCATTAACTTTGCTTAGAATCCCATTGCACATGGGAGAAGCAAGCATATTGAGATGAGATTTCATTACTTGAGGGAGCTGGTAAATGAAGGCAAACTAAGATTGGAATATTGTCAAAGCGAAGAGCAAATTGCAGATTTATTGACGAAAGGAGTCACAAATGATGTGTTCAAGAAATTGGTGAAGAGCTTGGGCATGAAAAATTAGGAGCATTTGAATTAAGGTGGTGTATTGGAGTGTTATAATAATTCAAATGAATGATATAAGTTTTTGGGAGCATTGTGGTAGAATCAGCTTAAAAAATAGGCACTTCTGAAATGCAGGGATGAGTTATGTCGTGGGCGTAATCGACTATGCAAAACAGTGTAATTGATTACGAAAGCAATTTTTCAATTTTGTATTGCTAATATCGAAGGCATAATCAATTATGTTGTTTGGCGTAATCGATTACGGCCGTGTTTGGGCTTTTTAGCTTTGTTTTAAGTTGTTTTGTTTCCCAACTATTTTAGGTGCTTGTATAAATATCCCTCATATGTAATGTGTCAAAATTAATGCCATTTTGAATTCTAAACCTCAATTTCTCTCTCTTTCTCTCTTATATTTCCTCTATTTTTTACTTTATCTTCTCCAATTATCACTTTTTTTCCATTAATTCACCGATTAAGCTTTGTGCATGTTCCATCAAAAAATATGCATAATTAAGACATGTGACATAATTAATATTTATTTGACCTTATACACATAAAACTATAGTAACGGAGAGGAATCTCTTGAGACGGAATCGTTTTGGGTGATGAGAAATGATTATTTTTCCTATTATTGTGTGCAAATAAAGAAGTAATAAGAGGAACGGGTCCAGCTGAAAAATAAAATAAATCAAGAGTTTATATTTTTCTCATTCTCAGACGCTGATTCAAGGTGGAAACCTCGCTTTCCCATAAATTATTCCTTCACACATACGATTCAACTTGACACATGATGCCCAATCTTTGGTGCAATAGTCAAGTCCTGATCAACTTCTTTTCTGGATCCTTCCCAAAGTCTGTGTTCAATCCCCAATTTCCGCAACTCCAAAAGCCCTTGCTCCACTGAAATTTGAAAATCCATATAGTTAACAACAATTCATCCGTTAGTATAATTATAGTCACATCACCAATGTAGGTAAAATTAAAGCATAATCTACTATTTGATCTATATGACAACACCAGCACATTCGAAGAAAAGTTAGACATCTGCTATTACACAGTACCATCAACAGCGTCGTGTGAAGTAGGTGAATGCCTACTTCGACCAATCCAAAACAGAAGGCGTTCTTTGGCGACGTTCTCCTCTATACCATGAGCCTTGGCTCTTCTCCAAAAATAAGTCAGCCAGGCCTGACAGAGGATAAATCCACTTAGAAAGCATGTTTCAGTAATACATATATACGAGCGACCATCAACTTTACAGCCTTGGTCACAAATATCAATCAACGGGTTAAGTGGGTAGAAGAGTGGGGTAAATGATTAACAAAAAACCATGTGATCTAGAATCGAGGAAAGCATGCCTTATAAAAGAAAAGTGAACTACGAGAGATACAGGCATTCAAAGAGCATGGAATGATTAGTGAAATAGAACGAACTACCTCCTTGAAAAGAACATCCTCAGATTCCTCTGGACTCAGCTCTACAAAAACACAATGATATTAAATTATTATTTGCACAAAGGAACACTGCCTCAGATACTTGGGCAACTAATAGGTGGGGGAGAACATACCAAATGCTTCCATAAACTTAGGATCCCCTGGTGATTTAATATCTGCCAACATCCAAAAGTGTACAGAATCAGAATGTTACTAGTATTATGTGATGTGCACGATTTGTGTTTAATGAACAACAAAAATAAAAAGAACACATACCTAATACTAGTTGTCGAGCAGAATTTGGACTTGGACGCCGTTGTTGGGCAAATGCTTGAACAATAGCATCCTCAACCTTAGAAAACAAATAAAAAATAATTTATAGAGATTAGCTTTGCCTATGCATGGCGACTCTGCTAACCTGAAAAAGTATATAGCAAATTCAATAAAATCTAGACAAGATCACACAAAACTTATGACTCAATTTTTTGCTATAAATGAACATGAAGAAAAACAAAATCACCAATGCCTTTGAACAACACCTTTAAAGAAGCAAGCTCCTTGAGTCCCATTTCAACCGAAAGCATACTTTCAATATTTCCTTCTCCAGTAAGATCATTCAAGTCTGGAACAAGATTGCTCCTCTTCTCTGTCGCATCATCGCCTGCTTAAAAGTCATAACAATTATCTACTGAAAACTCACAGGCCTGTGTAATAGAATAATGAAATTATCTCCATAAGAAAAGTATAACACAGCGGAGATATATTCTACTCTACAGGCAAACTACTATGAACTGTAGAACCCAAATCTTTATTTCATGCCTTTTTCCCAGGATTCCTCCTTGGCCTTTTGTCCTGCAGAAACAACAATCTCAAATGGAAGAGGGGCTAAGGATGACCAAAGTTCATACTTTGAAACCGCAACATCTGCACAGATACCTGTAAACCATGGCAAATATTACACAAGATAAAAGATAGCAGGAAGTGAACTTAGAATTTATTCACTTGTGAAACTCCACCAAATTCAAACTAGATATACAACCAAAATATAATTTATATGCATGCAATAATACAATAGATTTTAAGGCAAACTGATACTTAAAAGCTTTGATAATGTATTCCAGTGTTGCCAACAGATACGTTTAGCCCAACCACCACAAGAATAAAAAGGAAGATAAATAACCACCTACTGTAGCTTAGTTTATTGACAGCTAAATCACAATATGCAACCAAGCCGAGTGTGTATTCACACTCATTAGTTTTACAATGTTAATGATGGTAACTCTTAGAAATAAGAATTGTCTAATATTTTTAAGCTTGAATTTACCAAGTCTAAGTTGATATTAAGTGTGGAAGGAGGCATTTTATTTGAATTAGTTCTAATTAAGTCTATATGTAAATATTTGTGTTTGGCACAGTAAAGTGCCATGCTTTGGAATTGTATCTCCCTGATATTGTGCAGCTAGTAATGCTGGAAGGTGCTGCGGCATCTTTGCATGAGCTTAAGGGCAATTAAGGTTTCCTTATATGCTGATGTGGCACAAAGTATTTAGTCAAGTGCCTGAGATAGTATTGATGGAAGACATGATCCCCCACCTCTTTTTGACCATTTCAGTTTGTTAAAAGTACCACATCATATGAGATATGCCCTAAATATTCAGTTTGTTAAAAGTTCCACATCCTATGAGATATGGGTCCAATTGTCATCCCTACTTTTCTATTTTCTATGCACAACAATAATTCTAAGGTTCTATTAAAAGATATTAACACACGTCTTGAATTAAATGACTGAATTGCTTGAGAGACTAAACCCTCCACCTCAAGTATTTATAATCAAAAGTTTACAATCAAGATCCCTGAATTATAGGGATAAGAATAAGTGCTAATATCATAAAAAAGGAAACAAAATATCTACATAATGGAAATAAAGGAAACTAAATCAAGGCAATATGGAACCAATTGATATAAAAATGACTTGTATGTAATATCAGGAAGAGATGCCATTAAAGAAGAAGAAGAATGCGGCTACATGAGATAGTTGCTTACCATATTTTGTGGCTAAACCCCAATAACGAGCTAGCCAACACCTCTTAAGAACAACTTCCTCCTGAGAAGAAGATAGCTTATAATAATGAGAAGTACAAACAACTTACAAATACCATTGGATTCCATTAACTGCTGAAGTACCTACCATTTCTTTCTGAGTTAATACCATTCTTTGTGTCATTGATCGGAGAGCTTTCACTTCGGATTCAGCTCCACTCAGTTGTTTCACTGTGGCTTCAGTCTCTACTTTTGCATGCTATTTGAGAGGAGATGGTTAAAACATAAACGGTAGCTTGTATTGAGAATATTTTTAAGAATTGACGTAATAACCTCAACTTGAGTCTGTAGAGATGTGATTTCCTGATCAACTCCATCCTTTGATTCTCGGGAATTTTTCAGTGCGGCCTATAAATGTAAAACTGTCATAATAAGAGACAAAATAAGAAATAGTAGCACATCCATCTATTTTGTTGAAAAATAGTTCCATCTCCATTCACTGGATAGCATATTTTAACCACACCATAATGTTAGTAGTAGGCCTTCCTATCTATCACTAGGACTTATGACAGAAAGAAGCATAGAAATCAAACTAGTGTTGGAGCAGAAGTCATGTAATATTAGTAGGAAATTTACTGTATTATTATTAAACATTGTGTGTACAGTAATTGTTACTCATGTGTAACTCCTGTAGGAAGTTAGAATAATTTCTATGGGCTGAAAGAGAAAAAGGAGGTCATTCGTTTGTTTTATGTTTGGTTGGTTAGGAGAGACTAGGCTCTCAAATTCTTAGATGTTGGGTTATTGTATCTCTCCTTGTTCTCATAACCAACTCTAAAGAATGCCATACTAGAGTGTTGTTAATTATAATATAGGTTGTATTCAGGATATATTATCCCTCACTCGTAAATTCTAGATCTATATTGGTATCAGAGTGATCCTAGGAGCATCTGGTAATGAATAAATAAACATAAAGAAGAACCCATGGATGAGAAAGTAAAGAGCTTTCCGAAAAAATTGATTCCTAATTTTAATGGGAGAAAGACTTATTTGTGGAAGATCCAAGTGTACGAGTATTTTGAGGCCAACAAAATACCTGCTAAAGAAGTAAGAGTTTCATTAGCTGGTTAGTTGGCTTTGAGAGGGAAGCATTTGAATGGTGGACTTCTTGGAGACAGAAAAATCATCATGCAACATGGTGGACCTTTGAGAAAGCAGTGCAAAGGCAATCTCAACTAGAAGTTTGGGGTCATCTTCTTGATTCAGAAATTGAAAAATAAGAAAATAAAGGCTGTATTCTAATTCAAGAGAAGCAAGAATTATTAGCATCTCAAAAACAAACGAAATCAAAAGTGAAGATGAAGATTGGTACAGATGCATAAACACTACAAAAAAGAAGGCAGAGATCTCAATGTAGAAGCAGAACCAGAAGGAGGAAGTGAACAAACGCTATCTAGAGTGCCGAGTGCAGTGTGCAAAGACCAATTTGAGTATAGCAAAAGGGAACAGTCGAGATGAAGGAACATGTTGAAGAAAAAGAAAGATATGGTATTGGAATTAGTGAAAAGGAATGAGATGTGAGTTTGTTAAGAAACATTGCTTAGAAGTGGAGATACTATGCATGTACGGCAATCCAACGTCGTTACAATTGCCACCACAATTAAGAAAGATTGCAAGTTTGCAACTGAGGAAATGAGTGAATTGAGATTCAAAGATGGCCCGACTGAACAACCACTGTTGTTGTTAAAACAATTGAAACGGTTAGTCCAACAACATGTTATCACAACTCGCACGGCAAAAATAGTATGTTAAGCAGGCCGGCCCGACAGGAGCAACCCGTTTTGCCATCCCGGTTACGAGCACAAAGTCTAGGAGCGATAAATTTCCACCAAAGGTGTTGCAATTGTCCAAACCACCAGATCTGCCGTGCACCATCAATGGTGACATAAGGTGCAGCATATACAAATATTTGTGAAAACCAAATAATACATTTTGAGTATATATCATGAGCAAGTACTAATCTTTTTATATAGACTATTCTAACCTAATGAGTTTGACCAATAGGCTAAAGGTCTGAATACAAATTACTACTAACTATAATAAAAATAAATTATTTACAAACACTCCCACAAACTGGGGAATGGATATTTATCCTTCCCATTTAGAAAACAATTTTTTAAAAGTTATTCTTGTTCATCCCCTCAGTTAGAAGATCTGGAAAGTTTCCTTCAGAAGAGATATATGAAGTACAAAAAAGATAAATATCTAATTTTCCTTTGATTAAGTGTCTAACAACTTTAATATGTATTGTTCTATCATTCTGCATTGGATTATGGGTTATGTTAATAGCAGACTTTCATCACAATCTCACTGACTTATCACTCTTTATCTTCAAGTCTTCTAAAGTCATTTTTAGTCATAGTAGTTTGCATATTCAGTACTTGATCTGGATACCACACTTTATTCTTTACTCTTTTAAGTCGCATCTAGGAAAAGGCAATATCTTGTGGTTGATCTCCTATCCACAATTGGCACTGCATGGTCAACATCAATATATGCTTCAAGACACACACTTCCATTATGTTCAAACAAAATTCTTCTACCTGGAATTCCTTTCAAATATGGGACAATTCAGAGCGCGGCTTGTAACTGAATCTCTTTTTATTGGTGCATGAATTGGTTGACTAAGTTTGTCGTAAAAGCAACACCAAGATTCGTATGTGATAGGTATATAAATTTTTGACGAACCTATACAGTTACTTATCAACTGCAATATTTTCTTTTGCATTCTCCAACTTTACACTTGGATCCATTGGTATATTTGCAAACTTTCATGTTGTCTTGTCAGCCTCTTGCAGAAGATCAACAATGTATTTCTATTGAGATATGAAAATTCCTTTATTAGAGTGAGCAACTTTAATTCCCAAAATTTATTTCAATTTTTCCATGCTCTTACTCTCAAATTCATTGATAAAGGGTAAGTCAATTTTTCCAAAGGTAAGACTTTTCAAAGGAGTTTTGGAGTCAAGGACATTAGAAGTTAAACAATTTATGAGATACGCTGCAGTTAAAACTGCATAGCCCCAATATTTCTTAAGAATTTTATTTTAGAATATCATAGAGCATGTGTTTGGTTTAACAAGTCTGTTTTTTCTCTGAGCAATTCAATTTTGTTATGGTGTTTTAACACGGGAAGACTCATGAATTGATACCTTCTTTTTGAGAGAAAGAATTAAGATGGTGATTAAAGTAATCTTTGACATAATCGGACCTAATTCTTTTAATACTAACATCAAACTGCCACGGGGAAGAGGTGGAAAAACACATAACTAACTTTGGATTTGTGTTCTAACAAGTTGATCTGAGACCCGAGTGCAATCATCAAAAAAGGTTACAAATCACTAGGCACCTGATATACTTGGGACATTCGATGGATCTCACACATCAATATGAATTAAATAAAACAAAAAAGTACTCATTTCATTACTGGCTGAAAAAAAGACACAATTATGTTTAATAAACTGACACACCTCGCAACAAAGACTCGCAACATCTAAAGTTTTAAAAAATGAAGAAAATAATTGTTTTATGACTCTAAATGAAGGATGGCCAAGGCATCAGCAGTGCATAAGGAACTTCTCCCAGTTTGTATTTGTCAAAACCCACGATTCTCTCTGTGTATTTTAGGATGTTTTATATTTGCTATAACAATTGTATCTTGCTATTATTAGGTCTAGGTATTTATGATCAATCCCATAATTATAGGGATTTGTTCCTTTAAGAATTAGTTGTCCATATTTCCTAAAATAGGCTGCAGGCTCATGTATATATACAGGTCTAATGATCTAATAATATAATAAGAAATATATTATTCCTTTTAAATCTGAGATGGTATCAGAGCTCCTGATCCTTGGGAGTCTCTGACCGTGTCTGTAAACCCTAATTTGCAGCCTTCATTGCTGCTTGCAGCCTTCATTGCTGCACCCTCTTTAAGCCCTGTTGCAGCCTCTCTACCTTGATCACATCTGGTCATGGCTGAGATCGTGAATCCCACTCTGGAAACTGGGGACAAACCCCAGACCAATGGAGAATTGCAGAATGTCCATTCTGCTTATCGGCTAAATGGGAAGAATTATCTCAAGTGGTCTCAACTCATTAAGACCATCTTGAAAGGAAAAGGAAAGATCAGTCACTTGACTGATAATATACCTGATGAAACAGATCCCAAGTTCAAATCCTGGGATGAAGAAGACTCCATGATTATGGCGTGGCTGTGGAATTCAATGGTCCCAGAAATCAGTGATACCTGCATGTTCCTTAAGTCAGCAAAGGAAATTTGGGAGGCAGTAGAACAGACTTATTCTAAGGCCAAGGATGCTGCTCAAATTTATGATGTAAAGGTGAAAACCGTGGCAGCCAAACAGGGAAACAAATCTGTTACTGAATATGCCAATCAACTCAAGTCTCTATGGATGGAATTGGACCACTATAGAGTTATAAAAGCAAAGTGTTCAGAAGACTCAGCAATCCTTAAGAAGTATATTGAACAAGATAGAGTATATGATTTTTTGGTAGGCTTGAACCCTGAATATGACCAGGTCCGAATCCAAATCCTGGGAAAAGAGAAAGTCCCAGGGCTTAATGAAGTGGTAGCCATTATCCGGAGTGAAGAAAGCAGGAGAGGACTGATGCTGGAAACCTCAACCACTAAAAGCTCCGCAATGATAGCTGAAGGAGGAACAATCATGAGGAAAAATGGGGTTCCCAATATGGAGAAAAACCATGAGGAGGTCTGGTGTACCCACTGTAACAAGCCGCGTCACACAAGGGAGAAGTGCTGGAAATTACATGGAAGAACCCCAAGCCGAGAATGGGGGCAGAAAGGAGGCCCTCCAAAAAGGGGAGGACAAGGGCAAGCACACATTAGGCAAGGGCAAGCACACATTGCTAATGGTCAAAGGGAAGAATCTGGTTAGCTGAATCAAGAAGAAATAGAACGAGTAAGATCATTCCTTAGCAAACTCGAGAAGCCCACAGGTACATGCTCCTTAATATATTCTGGTAAGTTTCCACTTTCTTTTGGGCTTAATGTTTCAGATACACCCTTTACACATTACTGGATACTAGACTCTGGAGCCACTGACCATATGACCCCTATACCCAAATATTTCTCCACATATTCTCCATGTCCTAGCAACAAGAAAATTTCCACAGCAGATGGAACTCTTATAACTGCAGCAGGACAAGGAGAGGTCCAAATAAGCCCATCCATAATACTAAAAAATGTCCTTCATGTCCTCAAACTGTCCACCAATCTGATTTCTATACAAAAACTCACAAGATCTCTCATGTAATGCTGTTTTTTATAACAACTCTTGTATATTGCAGGACAAGAAATCGGGGAGGATGATTGGACATGCTAGAGAATGGAATGGCCTATACTACATGGAGGATCCTAATCTGCCTACCAACAGTCGATCTCTCGTATCTGAATCCACCATGACTAATAAAGAGAAGGTCCAACTATACCATTGCCGACTAGGATACCCTTCATTTAGAGTTGTAAAAATGCTCTTCCCTTCCTTGTTTAAAAATTTAAATGTGAAGAGTCTCAACTGTGAGGTGTGTGAGCTTGCAAAACACAAGCGTGTACCTTTTCCCATTAGCAATAAAATAAGTCCTTCCCCTTTTGTTCTTGTTCACACTGATGTATGGGGTCTGGCGTATGTTTCTAATATCTCAGGTGCTAAATGGTTTGTGACCTTCATAGATGATTGTACTCGGGTGACTTGGGTTTTTTTATTAAAACAAAAATCTGAAGTTAGTTCCGTGTTTTTTCAGTTTGTCTCAATGATTAAAAATCAATTTGGAGTTGGTATCAAAGGAATTAGGTCAGATAATGCTAAGGACTACTTTAACCTTATACTAAACTCTTTCTGTCAAAAGGAAGGGATAATCCATGAGTCCTCATGTGTGAACACACCCCAACAGAATGGGATTGCAGAAAGGAAAAATGGGCACCTATTAGATCAAACTCGGGCTCTACTTTTCCAAAACCATGTTCCTAAGAGATTTTGGGGGGAAGCCCTTCTTACTGCCACCTACCTAATCAATAGGTTACCCACAAAAATATTAGACTCAAAAAGTCCCATGGAAGTCCTATCCTCATTCTACCCACACTTGGATCCTACAAATAAACTCCAACCTAGAATATTTGGGTGTGTATCCTTTGTACATATTCATAGCAATGAAAGGGGAAAATTAGACCCTAGGGCTGTCAAATGTGTATTCTTAGGGTACTCTTCCACACAAAAGGGATACAAATGTTATCAACCCCTATCAAAAAAATTCTATGTGTCAAGAGATGTCACCTTCAACGAACAAGAGAGCTACTTCAAGCAGCCTCATCTTCAGGGGGAGAATGTACGAGAGGAAGATGAGACTCTCGTGCTTCCAAATATGACATTTGGACCTGAAAGTGGGACAAATGGCATTGTTGTCCCTGAAAGACGGACAGAACCAGCACCTGAATGCATTGTTGTCCCTGAAAGACGGACAGAACCAGCACCTGAATGCATTGTTGTCCCTGAAAGACGGACAGAACCTAAATCAACAGCACCGGAATCAACAGCAGGACCTGAACCTGCACCTAATGGTGGAAAATTTGGGAAAAATCTGGTATATACAAGGAGAGAAAAGGCCATTCTAGAATCTGGCAATGTCCAAGAATCCAACCCATCATCTCTGCATGAGGTAATATCTTCAAATCCTATAAACTCCAATGATTCTAATGAGTTTGTTTATGAAAATCTAGAAGCACAGGTAGACCAAAATCTAGACCTACCCATTGCCCTCAGAAAGGGAACTAGAACATGCACCCAACAACCACTTTACCCACTATCAAATTTCTTATCCTTTGAAAAATTCTCACCTACCCATAGAACCTTTCTCACAAACCTCAACTCCACACACACACCTTCATCTGTATCTGAAGCATTATCTGACAGGAATTGGAAACAAGCCATGGATGTGGAAATGGAGGCATTAAACAAGAATAGGACTTGGGAACTTGTCACCCTACCAACTGAAAAAAAAAACAGTAGGATGCAAGTGGGTATATGCAATAAAGTACAGGGCTGATGGGACCATTGAACGCTACAAGGCAAGATTAGTGGCGAAAGGTTTCACTCAAACCTATGGAGTAGATTACTTGGAGACATTTGCCCCGGTTGCTAAGATGAACACGGTCAGAGTAATATTGTCATTAGCAGCAAATCATGATTGGGACCTGCAACAATTCGATGTGAAGAATGCTTTTTTACATGGAGACCTTGAAGAAGAAATATACATGGAATTGCCCCCTGGTTACAGTGGACAGGTTGCTGCTAGAACTGTTTGCAAGTTAAGAAAGGCTCTATATGGGCTGAAACAATCCCCAAGAGCATGGTTTGGAAGATTCACCAAAGTTATGATAAATTTGGGCTACAAACAGAGCCAAGGGGATCACACATTATTTATCAAACATTCAGTTTCAGGGGGAGTAACGATTTTATTAGTGTATGTGGATGATATTATAGTAAGTGGGGATGATAAAAAGGAGCAGCAAGTGCTAAGTGAATGTCTTGCCAAGGAATTCGAGATCAAGACATATAGGAGACTTAAATATTTTTTGGGAATTGAAGTGGCCCATTCCAAGAAGGGAATCTTCATATCTCAACAAAAATATATTACTGACTTGCTTAAAGAAACAGGTAAGACAACCTGCAAACCAGCAAGTATTGCAGTTGACCCGAATATAAAGTTGGGAAGTGCGGAGGAGGATATTGCTGTGGACAAGGAAATGTATCAAAGACTTGTAGGCAAGCTTATTTACCTATCTCACACAAGACCAGACATTGCTTTTGCTGTAAGTTTAGTTAGCCAGTTTATGCACCAACCAAAGGAAGCACATTTGCAAGCTGCTCTTAGAATTGTGCAGTATTTGAAAGGGACCCCTGGAAGAGGGACTTTGTTCAAACGAAACAAGAGTGTAAGTCTTGAAGCATATACGGATGCAGACTATGCGGGGTCAGTGGTAGATAGAAGATCAACTACTGGATACTGCACCTTCCTTGGTGGAAACCTAGTGACTTGGAAGAGCAAAAAACAGAGTGTGGTAGCTAGATCGAGTGCGGAAGCAGAATTTCGAGCAATGGCCCATGGAATATGTGAACTTCTATGGCTGAAGATTATATTGGAAGACTTGAAGATAAAGTGGGATGAACCTATGAGACTATATTGTGACAACAAATCTGCAATTAGTATAGCCCACAACCCGGTGCAGCATGATAGAACTAAACACATCGAGGTTGACAAACACTTTATCAAGGAAAAACTAGACAGTGGTATGATTTGCACACCATATGTATCCACTCATAACCAACTTGCAGACATACTCACCAAGGGGCTGAACTGCATACCAGCTTGAGGGGGAGTGTCAAAATCCACGATTCTCTCTGTGTATTTTAGGATGTTTTATATTTGCTATAACAATTGTATCTTGCTATTATTAGGTCTAGGTATTTATGATCAATCCCATAATTACAGGGATTTGTTCCTTTAAGAATTAGTTGTCCATATTTCCTAAAATAGGCTGCAGGCTCATGTATATATACAGGTCTAATGATCTAATAATATAATAAGAAATATATTATTCCTTTTAAATCTGAGAGTATTAATTGATTCAGAAAAAATGAGTTGTTGTTGTTGAGTAGATATGGAGGAATATTCTGGTTATCCAAAAAAATAAAGGTCATTTATTTCATTATCTATCATTTCCAATCGTCCTCCCATAATTCTTGTCCTAGAAAACACAAGCATAGAAAACACAAGCATTGTTATAAAAAAACATTACATAATAGGTCTTTTGTGAATTTTTGTATGGAAATTAGACTAGTGGACAATTTGGAAATATGAAGAATATTTCGTAGTATTATAAATGGGCATATTTGAACATGTTGGGGGCATAAGTTATGCAATATTAGTAGGCAATTGATTTTTTTATTATTCAATCTTGTGTGTGCGCAGTAACTGCTAAGTAACTACGGTAGGAAGCCGGGATAATAAATATAGGCCGGAAGGGAAAAGATAATTTCCATGTTACCTCTCTTTGACGTAATGCTGCTTCCTTTCTGTAATGTAATAAGATTGAGTTCAAAAATACTGCTAAGGGAAGGAACAACCATTTGCAACATGTTTAACTTTAATTTACTCACCTGCTAAAGAGTTTAGCTTCCAAAGATACTCCTTCTCCAAGGGAAGCGACCTAAAAACAGCATATGCAACACAAGTTCACCAGTGCGAAACGTATATCTAAAAGAGGTTAATTGATATGCACTGACAGTGTAAAATAGTGTAAAAAAATAGTTTTACACTATCATCCAATAGAAATCCAACAATCTGCCATGTCATTGAATTTTTTTTAAAATAAAAGTGTATTTTAATTGGATATATGGTTGTGATTGGTTGACAGTGTAAAACTACTTTACACTGTCAGTGCATGAGTACTTTTCTCTATCTAAAATACATGTGTCTAACTCAAACTATGAAGCACAGACTCCGACGTAGACACGTGATACAATACGGACACGTCAACACTGCTAATGTAAAAAATTGAAGACACCAACACCGCTACATGTATATTTATATAATATATTAATATTAATATTATTGTTAAAAGATATAAGTTGAGCAATTTATTTCATTATAAAAAAAATGAAAACAAAATATAGCATTTTTGTCCGACACATGTCGTATGCTATAATACAGCTGGCCAACACAGATTCAAAGAATGTCTAATCAAAGAAAAAGATAAATTTTCTTAGACACTTAAATTTTCCAACATGTGTCGGACGAGTATCATGAGTGTCGGACACTGCGACACGCTTAATCCTAGAGATGCCCGTGCTTCATGTAACTGAAGTATTGAAGTTTTAAAAGTAAATCAGGAGAAAGAAAGTAATTATTGATTAGAGAGAGAAACTATTAAAGCACGATTCTTTTAAGGGACAATGGAACAGGACTCAAAATCCTAGCCCAATGGCAGAAGCAGTGACATTGAGCTAGATGCCACATTCTCGGAGCATAGCATTGTATAGCAGAAGCAGTGACATTGAGCCAGATACAATCCAGTCTATCTAGGTAAAATGAAATTAAAGGGCTCAAAACTAAGTAATTTAGACTCTCGAATGCAAAATCACAAGCAATGCAGCAAGAAATTGAGTTACGGACTGTTATTGCACCAACCAATAATAAGCCGACAATCATTCAGAAGAACATAATAAACTCTAAAAACAACAGTATTGTAAGTTGATAAATAGGGGTAGAAATATGATAAACCAGGCTAATTTTTTTCTTAAATAGGTACGGTAAATTAAATAAATTCGAAGTATAAGCTTAATCTACTATCTGTCGTAGACTTATTTTTGAGTCTTTCTTTTTTATAGGTATGGTATGACCTGCTAAATTATTTAAGGCAAGTTTTATATTAGTCTTTAAATAAATAATCTAACTTATTTTTAAATACATTAACAAATTAAAAGGTCAAGTATATGAAGTTCTATTTTGAGATTTAACATAGTCTTTCAAAAAGTTGAGTTTATATAGCATCCTATTTAAATTCTATTTTATAATAATATCTTTAAAAATGTGAAAAACTAGTGTGGGGGGATGCTTAAAGTTACTGGAAATGTTACTAATTTATGGTTTAACACAAAGTACAAAAAATAATACTACCTCTGTCCCAAATTATAATACATTTTGGGCATTTCACACGAAATAAGAAATGCAATTATTATTTTATGAAAAAGTAAAATGATGTAAAATTTTACAAAAATATCCTTCAATAATTACATTAGAAAGCTAAATTAAAAGAGTATAAGAAAGAGTAATAAATGATAGATGATATATTGGAAAAAATTGTATTAATGTTGCATTAGAATTGTAAAGTGACTTATAATTTGGAACAAGTTCTCCAAAATATCTTATAATTTGGGATGGAGGGAGTATAATAATAACAGCAATAAAAATTGTTTATATTTAATTAAAAATGTTGGTCTATTAGGCTAAAAAGGTATACTCTTTGTCTTGTCTGCCTTTTTAATCAATAAACTTATAAAAAACTTTAGCTTTGTATACATTAAAAATTGGTCTAATCTGAGCCTCGTGTAGACTAGGTCATAGCCTCTATAAGTGGTCCTAATCTATTCCCACGGGTAATGATTAAATGTGAATTGGGAATTAATCGGCCTCCTTAATTACATTTACTAGTTTGTTTCTAGAATAGACGACACAAATAAGAAATTCATTTGTTCTGGTTAATTATAATTATCTGTTATAATCACCTTGAGGAAAGTGAATTCTCTTTCACATGAAGTAAATAGAAGAAATTATGATCATGTATCTAATTCTTATACCTAAGGATCGGGAGGAAATATTGTCCTCATTATGACTATGGCTAATAAAGGAAAAAACCAATACACCTCTTAATCTTTAAGAATTGTACAAGGCTCCTGATCAATATTAATCAAAATCATATCCAAGTCTAACTGATTCTCATTTAATTATAATTATCTACACTCCCTCTCAATCTAGGAAATAGATGTCTATCATACCTAGATTAGCTTTGGAATTTTCAATACTGTGCCTCTAAATTTGGTAATATGTCAGGTGTTTGGTGGCATGATGGCACATAGTGAACAGCAACGATGCCTTGATCAAACTTCTCCTTTATGAAGTGTCTATCAATCTCCACATGTTTTGTTTTATCTTGTTGAACTAGGTTCTTTGCCATGCTGATTGGAGCCTTATTGTCACACAGATCGATCACCCCCCATAATTGTTTGGAAATTCTTAACTCTCCAAGCATCCTCTTTAGCTACATTCTCTCACAGATTCCTTGAGTCATGGCTCTAAGTTCTACTTCTATGTCTTGCTACCACATCCTACTTCTCCACATGACCATGCTTTCCCATATAAATGAATTGTAGCCTGGTGTGGATTTTGCTCTAACTCGCATCCTACCCAATTTGAATCCAAGTAGCCAGTGAAACCTTTGTCTGGATTTATCTTGAAGTAAAGATCTTTTCCTTAAGTTCGTTTAAGATACTGCATGATTATCCTTACTGCTGCCGACATTTGGTGGCTAGCTATACTTACTGCAAATCCTATATATGACTGAGGGTGTCAAATATATGAGTTTTTCCACTAAGCATCGATACTTGTCTTTCTTCTTTGGATATGCTTCCTTTAGTTACCACTATTTGTTGTGTTGGTGCTTTGCACCCCAAGTATCTTGTAGTAGATCCAAGGTATACTTCCTTTAGGACATGTAGATTCCGTCCCTTGTTCGAGCTACTTCCATTCCCAAAAAGTATTTGAGATTTCCTAAATCTTTAACTTCAAAATTTCTTGCCAAAAACCACTGTAGGTGTTCAATTTGCTCATTGTCATCCCAAGTAATGAGAATGTTATCAACATACACAATAAACAGTGTGATCTTGCCTTCCGGTGAATGTTTGACAAATATAGCGTGGTCTGTTAGTCATTAAGTGAACCCTTTCTTTATAACTACAGCCAGCTATGAAACTAGGCTCTCAGAGATTGTTCGAGGCCATATAATGACTTTTGGAGCTTGCACACTTGTTTATGGTGTCGGGTGATTCCAATCCTGTCGGGATTTGCATATATACTTCCTCTTCTAGTTCACCATTCAAGAATGCATTTTGTATGTTTAATTGATGTGGTGATCAATCCAAACCAGCAGCCAAAGACAAGATGACTCAAACTCAATTGAGCTTAGCCACGAGAGCGAACGTTTCTTTATAATCCACACCATATGTTTATGTTGCAATCAACATCCTATTTGATAGAGAATGTCCACTTACATCCAACTTGTTTCTTCTCTTTTGGTAGAATAGTAATATCCCGAGTTCCAATCTTAGCCAATGCTAAGGGTTTCTTCATTGACTACTTTGGTCCATTCACGATGTTGGAAAGTGTCGTGAATGTTCCTAGGTATAAAGGGAAATAACTAATACACCTGCTAATCATTTACTACAATTTTACAAAGGCTCCTAATCAATATTAATCATAATCAAATCATATAACTATAATTATCAACGTACCTCTTTATATAGAAAGAGTAACAAAGAGAAAGGTATGAAGCCATAAGTTTAAAGTTGTGCTGGCCATTCTATGAAGAAAGTAATAAGTGTAATTAAGGGCAAAAGAAAGGAAGGAAGCACCTGTTTCTCAAGGTCCTTAACTCTGGCCTCTGCTTCCTTGCATCTCTGTTCCTCAAGTCTAAGCTGTGCATTTTAGAAACAGGTGAGGTGAGTAGTTAGTTGATTCAGAAACGAGGGAGAAGATTGCGTTACCTTGTCAAAAAAACTTTGATTCTGTTCCCTAAGCACATCGACCTGCAGAGGGTTAAGTTTGAAGATAGAAAACACTTGTCTTGTATAGAAAGATGAATAGAATATTTGACAGAAGAAAGAAAAAAACCTCATCACGAAGAGCAGAGGCCTCACGGTTGTCTCCCAAATCCTTTGGTTGAAGGGGAAATCTGTAAATTTTGCATCCAGCTTGTTAGATAAAATAGAGAGTATAAATGGAACAAGTAAAGGCAATAATCAGCGTGACCTTTTATCTTTGGGCAGAAGAGGAGGCGGAATCCTGTGGTTGAGCGGCGGTCGATTACTATTATTAGATGCTACTACTGGGCGAACATACAATGCTTCTTCCGGTCTATGACTATGACTGGTCCTGGAGAGAGCGAGGGGAGGAGGAGCACTGTAGCGAAATCCTAGATCGCCGTCGTCATCGTCGTCATCGGCAGCCTGAGAAGCCATGACTTGTGCGAGGCGTTGAGCAGCGGCTTTAGCAGCAACATTCTGAGTTCTTTTAATGGTTGAAATTCCGGTGAGGGAAGATGAGCGAGCATGTCCACCATTACGTGAGTGTGAGTGTGATGGGGAAGACGACGAAGACATCACATTCCCACCATATTCACTACTCCACTGCCGCCGCTCCATCACATTCCCACCACCAGATTCACTACTCCACTGCCGCCGCTCCATCACATTCCCACCACCAGATTCACTACTCCATTGCCGCCGCTCCATCACATTCCCACCAGATTCACTACTCCACTGCCGCTCCATCTTCCAAGGTCACTATAACCTTTTCCAAAATTTCTCTTTAGTCGGTCATTAAAGTACATTACCAGTAATGAGTGCCCACTGGTTAGTTAGCTACTGCTTCACTCTAATTGAGCAAGAGATGGATTCAAAATTGACTGCACACATTAATACGTAACAATCATCTTTCCAATAAATCAAACCAAAAAAAACAGTCTTCTTTCCAAAAATAACTTAATTAACAACTTCTTCACAAGTAATTTTCGACAAAGAAGAATAAATCTTAAGTTGTGGGGTGTGATACGGTGGAAGAACGGACTTAGGATTTTGCGTTTTATCGCAAATGTTGCGGTTAGCAAGAGTGGTCACCGACTTTTCTTTTATCCAAAAGGAAAGGTGAACAGGAAGGTATTAGTACCATTTTCATCCATGGTTTTTCATAGGCTATTAGTTACTTGCTAGATCACTTGTTTTTGTTTGAAAGTGTGTTTGATGTGGTTTTGAAAGTATTTTGTAAAATAGGTCATTTGTTTAGGCAATCTTTGTAATGATTCTCGTTTGTAAGAATGTATACAAAGATATTTGTCTTTTGAAAATGTTTTCAATGTTTGTAAGATGTTTTTGAAATGTGTGTTTGTTTTGAAAATAGCAAGGATAGTTGTTCGGAAATAGAGCAAGTAACTAAAAGTAATCTACCTACTCAAAATGTCTTTCTTATGCATTTTCTATTCTTTTGACATTGTTGTCTTACTATTGATTTGGTAAGCAACCCTATCTTTAGATGTAAACGGGACGGACGTGGGTCATCGTATAATCATGATTAGCAATGTTTGTAAAGTATCTTAGCATTTTGAGAGACCAATATCATTTTGTAAGGCAACCTTGAATAGCGTCATTGAGGGACTATGATCTTATATTTGTTTGCTTTGTCAAGATACTTCGCATGCGTAATATGGCTATTTTTATATAAGGCAACTAAGTGGAGAAACCCTATGGATGCTTGTGTGCAAGTGTGTTATTTTTATACTTTGATTTTGTCTTGTATTAGGGTTTTCTATTTGCTTTGTTTTGATATTTGTTATACAAACCCTAATTACTAACATGGCATGTAAAGCGGTAAATTGCGTAATGTAAAAAATTACTAAGCTATTACAACAATTTTATGGGAGGATGGAATACAAATTTGAATGGGGATTTGCAAGAATGTAAATCTAAATAAATTATTACAACCAAATCGAATTTGTACGAATATTAGAATAAATAAATACAATATTTAAATATGCAATATTATGTACTTATGCAAGAAAAACATTTTGTTTTGTTTTTTTATGTGAAAAGAAAAATTTAATTTAATCCTACAAATATAAGGAAAAAAAATTAATTCTTAAAAAGGATTAACCTTAATTACTAGCTTAAAAAAGAAAATAAAGTTCTTATGTATTATTTTTGTGTATTTTTGTATTAAAAATAATAAATAATATTTTATAAAAAAAAATTAATTTTTTTATATATGCCAAAATAAGTATTTTACAAGTATGAATTGAAAAGAAAATAAAACAAATTAAACTAAATATATTTTATTTAAGTCTACAAGTTTATTCAAGAAAAAGAATTAATATATATAGTTTAATAAAAATATATTTTTTTAAACAAATGCAAAATAATCATATTTCATATTTTTTATGATTTTTAGGTATTAAAGAAATATTTTTTAAATAAAAATAAAAATGAAAACAAATAAATAAATATATGAAAATAGTTTGGGCCAGGGGTGCTGTAAGGAAATTGGGAGCAGTATGTTAGTAAAAAACGCTAGGCCCAAAGAAACAAGCCATCCTGCAAAAACAAGCCAAAAATGAAAACTGAAAAATGTGAAAAAAAAACAAAAGGTAGCGCCAAGGTTCGAACCCAGGACATGGGTTTCACCAGCGCGCTACCTTGCCACGGGGGTGGTTATACATCCGTTGATTAATGTGAAACAAAAATAACATAACACAAACAAAGCTCTTGCCTTGTACTTCGTCTTCTTTCTCTAACCAGTCAGATGCTCTGTAGCTTTCTCATTTCTCCATGAAAATGAAAACTCATAACATGAATGTTGTAGCATTTTGTCTCACGATTCCAACCATATAAATCATGTAAGCTAACAATCAAAGATCAAAATGAATTTTAAAAGCCCTAAATCTAAACCTAATTTTTACAGGAATTTGAACTTCAAAATTCTCTCAACTCAGGCCAAATAAATACAAGATATATACATGTACAGCTTCGTAGCAATGAGGTCTACATTGTTTATTCACAAATCATGGCCAATGGATGCCTGTATGAAGAGATAGAAGTTGAGATTTTTACCTCTTTTAGTTGAAATCGTAGATGGAGTTGGAGTGAGTTTTATGAAGGCCTGATGATTGTTTGAGCTTGCTTGAACCTCCCTGAGTGTGTTCCAATCCTTGCCTTGCTCTGGAAGTGCCTGGAACTCTCTATCCAAGTCAACCTGCAAGTTTTGAAAACAAAAATGGCAGATGATGGAGAAGGGGTTACAGTACAGGGATGAGGGTCTGGATCAATTAGATATCAAGTAGGTAAGGTGTTTTGATGGTTAAGACTTTAAACGCACGAGCCAAATGAGAGATTGTTATGCTTATGCAAAAACTGCAAGTTTTGACAGTTTTTTGATGAAAGGGAGTTTGGTAGTGTTTCAAGCCTCTAACCAATGTGCTTTCTATTTTATATTCTTTGTATATTAGTATGGAGAAGGTCTTAAGTCAGCTCTTCAACAGGTTTGTGAGTTATAGGTTTTTGGCACACTTTCTTGCTTTTGAAGCAAAGTGAAGGGACAAGGCCTTACTTGCTTGTACTGGCTTGTTTAGGGTTAGTGTGAGTTATATACAAGTTGCCTTAGGTCTGTGGTACTTGTATGTGCAAAGGGGACAGGTTCAATGCTCAAGATTTGTAAAGTTTGCAAAAGTGGAGCTTTTTCAAAATGGCAATGGCCACTTTATGTCATTTATGGAATTACAACTTGGGTAATGGCTCTAAGGCTTGGATTAAAGCTTTGTCAACTGAGTAAGCATTAAATTAAGGAGTAAGAAACAAGTTTGGAACCTGTAAAGCATGAATTAGGCATCATAGGTACTGATTGAAACTTTGTTCTTCATGAAATGACTTGAATCAAAAGTGAGAAATTGCCAACTTCATCTCTTCGATTCTCCCTACTCCAAAATGATCTTGAGGAGTTCTTGGACATTTTAGAAATATTTCAATGTGCTATATAACTCATCTTTGAAATGCATTTCAAGATACCTCTTGGAACTAGGTGAAAAATTTTCATGAAGTTGGGTCCAAAACCTGCCTAAATTAGGGCAAAAAATTTACTAAGTTATTTAGTTCATGAGCACGTATTCATAAAATTATATCTTGAGATCCAAGCATCCCCAGGGAAAAGTGTGTGAAGCAAAGTTGTAGATTTCATGGAGGTCTACAACTTTCATGTTTGGGAATTCCTTTGAATCATCTTGTATCATGGTGAAAAAACAGCTTAAAGTTGAGAAAAAATAAGAAATTTTATATACTTAGAAAAATTTCTATGTTAAGAAAATTTCCAGTTTTAAACCCTAATCTTCAATCCTTGATTTCTTGATGAACAAGTTTCACATTTTGACATGTTTTGGTGAATTATGACCCTTGGCACTTGATTTTGACCAAAAAGTCAAAGTTTGACTTTTCAGTGTACAATTGACTTTTGATTAGTTGACTGCAAATTTCATCTGTCTATCAATGAATTTGCAATGTTTTAAACCATGTCATTAGGTCATGATGATGAAATTGAACCCTTTAAATCATGCTTCAAATCAATTGGTCATTTTCTAGGTCAAAAATCAGAAATTACCCTTTCTCAATCAAAACCCTAATTTTGACCATTTTGCCCTTTTGATGATTTGATCAAATTTCTTAAGGAATTGTGGTCCAAACTTGATCAAAATGATATATATAAGTCTAAAATGTTGATGTGGATCAAAAATTATGAAGTTTGACTGTAAATTGGCCATGGTTGACTTTTTCCCCAATAGAGTTGATTTTTAGGTCAACTGTCCAATTGATTGATCAAAAATGTGATTCAGGGCTTGAAACTTGTCATGAGTAATCTTAGGGGTCCATAATGATGTTTGAAAGTCATATGGAGCATTGATAGTCCAAAAATCCTTGTGCAAACTCAAACCCTAATTTGGGTCAATAGTGCATGATGAGATGTCTTGAGCTGGTCAAACCCTAATCCAGTCTTGAGTCTAAGAGATCTTGTGAGAAAAGTCTTGATAAATGAGAGGGAAAATTTTGGGGTACAACAGCTGCCCCTGTTCAATCTTCTTAAACCTGAAGAGTTAGATTGGCGAGCTTTGTCATTCGTGACTCGAAGGTGAAAGGTGATTGAACACTAGAGTGCCCATAAATTTGCACTTGTAGTTGAGGGAATGGGCTTAAAGATGCCATTTGGAGAAGTGATAGAATCTTGTTAGAGATGGGCTTGTTATATTCCATCTAAGAATGTTTGTTGGATTGTAAGTTGTAAGCTGAAAGAATAAGTATCAGGATGGCGTCTGTGTCTATAGCGTATCTGAATTGTATCCGGATTTGGACTTTGAATGAGTATCTGAATGGCATCCGTGTCTGGAGCGTATCCGTACTGTATCTGGAAGTTGAATCTGAATAAGCATCAGAATGGCATCTGTGTCTAGAGCATATATGTACTGTATCTGAAAGTTGAATCCGAATGAGCATCAAAATAGCATCCGTGTCTGAAGCGTATTTGTACTGTATCTGAAAGTCGAATGTGAATGAGTATCAGAATGGCATCCATATTTGGAGCGTATATGTACTGTATTTGAAAGTATGAATTTAAATGAGTATCAGAAAGGCATCTGTATCTAGAGCGTATCTGAACTGTATCTGAAAGTATGAATTTGAATGAGTATCAGAATGACATCAGTATCTGGAGCGTATCTGAACTGTATCTGATTGCACATTGT